GCATGCACGCACGTTTATTAGACCTATGGGAGTATGTATAACGTATAGTCTATTTACCCATTCATTATTCATCGACACTGTCATCAACATATTGTTTCAGGCTCGGCATTCGTGCTAATAATGTTTGCAGAGGCGGCGCGTTATGATGTTGCCTATAGGTATCCCGAATTTGCATAAAGCAAGAACATATAACCCGTTGAGTCTAACTCGTTATTACCTTCGCCAAGGAGGTTATGTTTTCGCCCCTGTTAGTTTGTTGGTTAGTTTGTTGGTTAGTTTGTTAGTTGGTTTGTTGGTTTGTTTTTCTGTCAACAGGATATCTCAAAAAGTTACGGACGGATTTGGATGAAATTTTTGGACCGGTTGGTCTTGGGCCAACAACCAATCGATTAGATTTTGGTGGTGATCTGGATCTATGATTTTTTTTGTGGGGAAGATTTCGGACGCATTCAAAATTCATTAAAAAAAAAAGATCTTTAGTTCTTTTTTTCAAATTTCTGAAAATTTTATCAAACTCTATATTGGGTGTACCATTAAGATGGTACTATTACGCTGTGGCGAAGGTTTGCTATCTCCGATTTCTCTTGTTATTGTTAAAGGTAAAAAGGTAGAATTTGTATTGATTGCGGTGCCCCGTAGCCTACTACGATATTTCTGATCATTCTGCTAGTCTTGCGCTAAGTCATCATCCTCTTCACGCTGAACGAATGCATCTTATCACCGGTGATGGCTTCAGAAGGTCATCATACAAATTACCATAGTAACAGCTTCATTTCCCTCACCAGTATCTCACTCCCTCTCTACGTGTACAGCATGTTTCGGGCGCGCAAATCCATACACGCGCTCCGAAAACCTCGTTACACACCGCGTTTATTTCTGCGACTCTAGATCTGCACGCGCTACGCGTATGCACACACAGACACACACACCCACCGAGGTTCGTCTCACAGCAATGAATAATTTCTCCTCCCAGCGCGCGCACCTCTCTTCGCATCTTTCCCGCCGGAGACGACTGACTACAGCGGGACTAATAGATTCAGTATAGTGCGGCGGCTAACGTTGTACTGGGTTAGTGCGGGGGCTAACGTTGTACTGGGTTAGTGCGGGGGCTAACGTTGTACTGGGTTAGTGCGGGGCTAACGTTGTACTGGGTTAGTGCGGGGGCTAACGTTGTACTGGGTTAGTGCNTGCTTGCACGTGAATAACCGTAGCGCACGTGGCCTGTAGCATATTTCATAGTACGATGTGATAATTCTGCTGAGGTCCTATATATACCACGTAGCCTTCATAGATGTCAAACTTGTCAACGTTGTCAGAAACGTCTCATGGGTATTTATGACTATCGTAACTCTAAAATGTCGTAGCCTTTCCCCTGCACTTCGTCTGCAAAAGCTATGCGATTTTAGAAATACGATTTCGAACCCGGTCGTAATATTTCGGACAACGCCTCCCTGAATTCACTGTAGTCATGGCATCGATCCCCCCCTCCGGCGTTCCGGCCTTTCCCAGCAGGAAAGTTTCTTGGAAATATTCGCAGAAGTCCTACGTGAAATGAATTTCATTTGATGCGAATCGACGAGGGGATTTTTTTAAGCAAATTACGATTTCAGTCAAGTAAGTTTCTGCTCCTCGGGTTGACCGCTCGGCGATGCAGGCGTTATTATGCTGGAACGTGCCGACTAGCTAGTTAATCTGTGTTAATCTGTTACTGGCCGTCGACGGCAGTTTGTTGGGAAAATTCTCCGATCGTTATTATTAACGGTAAAAAAAAACAGCGCTCGGGCGTGGAGAACGAAGCTGTAACGGCCAAACGAAATTCGATCGCAGTGTTCGCGAAAGTTCTCCATTCTCAGCCGTTTAATCGACGCAAACGCCTGCGCGTTCTACACTCACGCGCGCGCACCCACACACGCACACACACACGCAAGCACGCACGCACATAGACACACACACACACACACACACACACACACACACACACACACACACACACACACACACACACAACACACACACACACACCACACACACACACACACACACTACAACGAGGCGCGCACACACATTACACACACACATCTCATACGCACGCGTGCGCGCGCACGCACGCACGCACGATACACACACACTCACGCTCTCACCACGCGCGCACACACACACCATGCCACACGGCATGCGCCGCGCGCACCCATACACACACACACACAACCACACACGCACACGCACACACACTATGCACACGCATGGCAGACGCATGCGCGCGCACATATAACACGCACGCACACTACACACCACACACACACCCAAACACACACACACACACACACACACACACAACACACACCACGGCACACGCACACGCATCACGCACAACGCACACGCACGCAAGCACACGACAGCACACACACACACACACACACACACACACACCAACACACACACACAAACACGCACACGCGCATCACACACAATGCACACACACACAAAACGGCATGCGCGCGCGCACATACACACGCACACACGCACACACACGGCTACCACACACACGCACACGCACACACAGGCACACACACGCCACACACGCACGGACACGCGAACACCACACACCTTTACTCTCTCTCTCTCTCCTCTCTCTCTCTCTCCTCCTCTCTCGTTCTCTGCTCTCTCTCAACTCAACTCACTCACTCACTCACTCACTCACTCACACGACATACACACGACTCCCGAGAGGACACAGGGAACATAATCCTACTAGCCACACATTCATAAGCACCCTCTCCCCCTCCCCCCGTCCCCTCCTCCTCCCCTCCTCCTCCTCCTCCACCCATCATTAAGCCACCCCCTCTCCCTCCCCGTCCCCCTCCTCTCCTCCTACACCCACCGATCGCTAATTTACCGATGCGCTCGCTAATGAAGAATGACGGCCGCTGCAATAATTAGCCGTCACACCTTGCCGGATGCACCGCGTCCTCCAGGGAAGCTGAGCTCTTGTTGGCTTCGTGGCTTCGCGGGTCTCCCATTAGAAGCGATGCTGTGTGGGGCGGTTGTGCAATCAGCGTAGATTGAGAGGCTGCCGCCGAGGAAGGAATCGCTATGCAGGATCGATGCACCGGGTGTGTGTGTGTGTGTGTGCGGGCGGCGGAAATGTGAGCCACGTGAGATAGCTTGAATATGGGCCACGAATAGACGAAATTATGTGTTCTCTCTTTGTATTTCTCTCTCACACAACACTACACTCTTTCCCTACGGCCTCTCTTCCTGAGTTCTCTCTAGTCTCTGGCTTTTCTCTCTCATCTCTTCTCTTTCACTACCGTGTTATTCAATTATGCGTATATTCACACGCACGCGGCCCGGCACGCACGCACGCACGCACGCCACGCACGCGCACCACACCACACACACACACACGCAGCACCACACACACCCACACACACACACGACACACACGACACACACAAACACACCATGCACACACACACACACATGCACAACGAACACACACACACACAAACACACACCCACACACACACACACACACACCACACACACCCCACACAACACACACACACAACACACACACACACACCACACCCACACACACACAAAACACACACACACACATGCACTATCACGACACACACACACCACACACACACACCACATCAAACACACACACACATATATATAGTTAACGCGATGATGTAACGCACTCCTGTTATTATGTTATCTACCTCTTTACTCATATTTAGCAATCGATTTTTATAGCTCCTGCGCTTTAAAACCTTGATGAAACCACATTAAACACGTATTTATAGCAGGCAGGTTTTAATTAATTTTCTTATTACGCATATAAAAGAGAGTTTTCTCTGCTTTAACGGCCATATACGCCATATTTTACAGGTGGCTTCATGCGTTTGCAGGTGTGTCACGAGGCACGATATTTATCTAATGGCCATTTCGCGTGTTTATAGACGATCGTATGTAGGTTAAAAGGCGAGATGTGTTTACGATGCTTTCACGCGGTAATCTCCTGCATTTCTACGCTCCCGTCGCTCGCTTGCAGCCCATCTGCTGTATGTATAGGTCAAATAAACCTGCGCGTGTTCGCGCCCATCGTGGCGTTTATTTAGAGATCAGACGATGTACTCGCACGCAATTACGCGTGTTTTATATAGTGACGTCGTGTGTCACAAGGGCAATGTGTTCATAGAACACGTAAATGTGTTCACAGATGATCACGCGTGTTTTTAGATCGTGCATCGTGTGTTCGCGGCCAATACCGTGTGTTCATAGAACACGTAATGTGTCACAGATGATCACGCGTGTTTAGATCGTGTGTTCACGCAAATACCGTGTGTTCATAGAACACGTAATGTGTTCACAGATGATCACGCGTGTTTTCAGATAATCACGCATCGTTGGTTCACGGGCGATCTATATTGCCGTTATAAATGCAATCGTGCCTTTATCTATGATATTGTATATCTATAGTTACTATAGTGCTTGTGTTTTACATGTGTTCATATATACCTTGCTGTGTTTTACATGTGTTCATATATACCTTGCTGTGTTTCGCGTGTTCATATATTTCTCGCTGTGTTTTACATGTGTTCATATATACCTTGCTGTGTTTTTACGTGTGTTCATATATTTCTCGCTGTGTTTTACATGTGTTCACATATTCCTTGCTGTGTTTTACGTGTGTTCATATATTCCTCGCTGTGTTTTACAGGTGCTCTTATATTCCTCGCTGTGTTTTACAGGTGCTCATATATACCTTGCTGTGTTTTACAGGTGTTCATATATACCTTGCTGTGTTTTTACATGTGTTCATATATTCCTCGCTGTGTTTTGCAGGTTTTACATGTCTTTACATGTGTTCATATATACCTTGCTGTGTTTTACATGTGTTCATATATACCTTGCTGTGTTTTACGTGTGTTCATATATTCCTCGCTGTGTTTTACGTGTGTTCATATATTCCTCGCTGTGTTTTACAGGTGATCTCGTTCCTCTGCTGCTGCATCACAATCATCCTCCTCATCGTCTGTCTGGCGAGCACATTCTGGTTGGAGACGGACGGCTACCGCCAGGGCATTCTGGAGAAGCGGCTGCGGTGGTCGGCCGACGCCTGCCGTTACCGCTAGCCGTACAAACACCGCCCGCAGACGTCGGCTCGTTCGCATCATCACCGATCCGCGAACGTACGTCGCGCAACGCCATTCCTACACGCCACGCACGCACGCACGCACGCGGGTGGGTGGTGTGGGTGGGAGGGTCATGGGCCGCGCGTGCCGTGTGATGTTTTAACAGCGAAAATAGGATTTATATATCTGAGTGTGTGATGCGCCAGTGTGGTGGGTTCGTACGTCAGTACGATGTTTGTGTTTGCGTGACGTGCGTGGTGCTGTGCGTGCGTGCGTGCGTGCGTGTGTGCGTGTGTGCGTGTGTGCGTGCATTGGCTGTGTTGGTATAGGTTTTCCTGAATGAACGTACATAGCTGGCTAACTGCGCGTGTTCGCGGTGTTGCAGTGTGCGCTTGGCTGTGCTTGTACGAGAAGCGTGTGCGTGCGCGTGTGCGTGCGGCGTTAGTGCGTGCGCGTGGTGTATGTGTGTAGCTGAGACATAATGAGTACCTTTTGTACATGTGGATGCATTCCTCGTACACCGCAGGGTTTCTCGTTCCCCGCGGAGTTCAACTATCGAAAAACCATCGAATCATATCTGACTGCCTCCTTCAAAATAACATGGAACATCCAGTATATTTATAATATAGCAGGGTCAGCTAAAACACGTTCTGTCTTTTAATGTGACCACTTGAACCAAATGGTTGAAAAAACTCACAACATAAAAAATAGAGAACTACTGTCACAGATGGGCCGGACATGCTTCAAGATACTTTCACATAAAACTAACTCAGTTGCATCGATATGTGACTGTAAAGAAAATATTGCAAAACATATAGTTACTGGCCTACATAAAGTAAGCAATGTTCTTTATGAGACAGCTTCAGTTCACAATTGACTTATCTTGACGTACTTACATTGTGGTAAACCAAGCTTTACAATGGCAGAATCCAGCGACCGAGCTTAAATCACGAACAAAATGGCCATAGCAAAAACACAAGAGTCCTCACGCAGTTTAAGGTCAGAGGGCATACGGTAATAACATTACAGTGGTAATACAAGCACTGTAACAGCACATTCTTTTCTCCTACCCCCAAGAGGAATTTTACGCCTCGCAGCGTCCAGCCCCAATAATACAGGAACCCCGATGAGATTGTGCGTTGACATTGACACGCACTACATCCGATATTCCCGAATTTCCTTACCCCCCCCCTCACCCCCGATCTCACGTCGTCGTTTTCCATTGAAGCAAAAGTATTGACGAATATTCGCGTAACACAGATATACTAACGCGCGTGTGCTGCCAGGATCCTAGGTAGTCTAGAACCTGAGCTACTGTTTAAAAAATATCAACGGTGACGGCCATCTTGGTAAAATGGCCGGCCATTCTTGCATGCGACAAGATATGCGATGCGCTCATAGCCAAATCTTCCTTAAGGGCATGCCTCTAACAGTGCCACAGCTTTATGCCTTTGTATTCATCAAAATGCACAATTCCCTTTAATATTGCATCATGATCTGCCAGCCTACTTCCTGCGTGACGCGTAGTTAGTAAATCGGCTCGTGCGTCGTGCATTGCAATTCTAGTTCGCTTCCGCCCTTCGGCTGTGAATGTGTTACGACGAATGCGATCGATCATATGGTGTTAATGCATGGGTGCGCAGCATATACACGGCTTCCTTAATATACACGGGTGGGCAATTACCATCACGTCTTACCAAGCCGGGTTTATCTTTTGACCGGGGAAACACGGGAAGAGAGAAAAAAAGTAAAGCGCAATTTGCTATATAATGAAATATACGTTCGTTTTAATTCTCTTTCGAATCTTTTTTTTCTAAAGTTGACGTGGAAGGTTTTCGATTGGTCCGACGATAGCAAAACACGATAGGCGTCCATCCTCCCCCTCCTCTACTGGTGTAGAGGCGTCTCTTCTCCCACCTCCTCCCCCTCCTCTCCTGGTCCAGATGGCGTCCCTCCTCCCCTCTCATCCCTGGCCAGAGGCGTCCCTCCTCCACCTCTCTCCTGGTCCAAGGCGCGTCCGCTCTTCCTCCCCCTCTCTCCTGTCCAGAAGGCGTCCTCCTCCCCCCTCTCTCCTGGTCCAAAGGCGTCGCATCCTCCCTCCTCCTTCGTGGTCAGGAGGCGTCCCTCCGCCCCCTCTTCCTGGTACCAGAGGCGTCCATCCTCCCCCTCCTCTCCTGGTCAGAGGCGCTCCTCCCCCGCCTCCTCTCCTGGTCCAGAGGCGTCGACCCTCCACCTGCTCTGGAGTCGTTCTCCTCTTCTCTCCCTGCTCCGCAAGGCGTCCCCCTCCCCCTTCCCTCCCCCTGCTCTACAGGCGTCCCTCCCCCTGCTCTCCCTCCTGTTATGTAGGCGTCCAACATCAATCTTTCTCTCGCCCAGATCACCTACGATCGGATTAAGTGCCTGATGCCTCATTCATATTCCATCTGCGTTCTTTCTAACCGTCTCTTGCGCGTCCATTCTGGGTCCACTAACGATATGCCAAGCTTAGTACTAAGTCGGTCTCAGACAAGAAGGCTCACGCTCTGCCTCAATGTGCCCTCGCGCCGCATTCAGAGGAAATCCAATTAGGCCAGTCGAAGCCCCTACCACCTCTCTCGGCATCATCAATTCGCGAGCGCACCTCTCCGGTGAATCATGGAACGGAGAGCGAGCAGAAGAACCCACGCTTAAGTACTAGGCACTTGACCAACGCCGCATACTTAATGAAGCATCAGTCTTGCCTGTCTACCCTCGGGGGCGTAACTCGGGGGCATAAACGGTCGTTCAGATTACGATGGGGTGGGAGAGAGGAGGCGGGGGGTGAGGAGAGGAAGGCAGGAGGGATGGAGCGTAGTGAGGAGGGAGGAGATGGGAGGAGGGCGGGATGGGAGGAGAAGAAGGAGGCGGCGGGGGGCGTGCGTGGGAGGTATGAGTCAAGGGGTGGGAGGGTTACGGGTCATGGGAGGGTGAGGCGGGGAGTGAGGAGGGGTGTAAGTGAGGGTGAGAGGAGAGGGGTGGAGAGAGGAGGGGGTGTGAGGGAGGTGGAGGGGGAGCGACGGTGATGAGATAGAGGGGGGTGGGAGGGGGAGGGTTGAGAGGGAAGAGGGGGGATGGTGGAGCGGAGGAGCAGGGGAATGGGAGGCGAAGAGCAGGGATGGGAGGGGGGCAGGCAAGGGGATGGGCGGGAGGAGGCAGGGGGGATTGGGAGGAGGCAGGGGGGACGGAGGGAAGAGGGAGGAGATGAGCTTCGTTTAACGATATTGCTCGATGTTCGGCGGACGTATACGTCTTATTATTCAATACATGAAAACAAATAAACGCCGGATGAACACACCAGCGGCGGTTACTGAAAAATTTCCCGAGACTCGCTGTAATCTTTAGCGACGTAACAAGCGACTTCCGGATCCGTCGCCTGCGATAGACGGATCAGTTGTAAAATTTAATTCTCGCTTTCCGCGTTACGCTTGCGAGANACACACGCGCACGCACACACACGCACACACATACACGCCCCGCGCACGCACACACGCACGCACGCACGCACGCACACACGCACGCACGCACGCACACACACACACACAAGCACACACACACGCGCGCGCGGGAGAGCGAGAGAGAGAGAGAAAGAGAGAGAGAGACGAGCGCACGCATCGACGAGACTACTAATGCATTCGCAAGACCGACGTCTTCTTCTTCTCAGAAACGATTTTTCTTTTCCTGGGAATTAACCAGTGGCTATGACAAAAATTTGCATGTAGATTGTTTCGCGTCCGTGTCTGTCCGAGGGTGGGGTGGGGGGCATGCTTTCATGAGGGGCCCGTGCTCACATGCTCACGCGAGAGAAACGTGATTACAAGAGGGCAACCTACTTCAATGAGGGTGTACGTGCTGACGTCAGGGGACCGTTCTTCCATTAGCAGCAACGTGCTTACATTAGGGAAACCTACCCACATGAGGTGCTCGTGCTTTCATAAGGAGAAACGTGCTTACATAAGGGGATTCGTGCTTACATGAGAGGATTCGTGCTTATATGGTAGGACATGTACTCATATAAGGAGAAACGTGCTTACATAAGGGGATTCGTGCTTACATGAGAGGATTCGTGCTTGTATGATAGGACATGTATTTATATAAGGAGAAACGTGCTTACATGAGAGGATTCGTGCTTACATGAGAGGATTCGTGCTTATATTGTAGGACATGTACTTATATAAGGAGAAACGTGCTTACATGAGAGGATTCGTGCTTACATGAGAGGATTCATGCTTATATTGTAGGACATGTACTTATATAAGGAGAAACGTGCTTACATGAGAGGATTCGTGCTTATATTGTAGGACATGTACTTATATAAGGAGAAACGTGCTTACATGAAAGG